CATGTTTTCCTTTCTTCTCCACAACTTGATAAGGATTATGGAGTAAAGAATACAATGGAGATTTTAATACAGGCTACAGCCTGGAAAACTTACAAGTAGGGGTGGGTTTTTTTTGCAATATTGTCTTTTTCATTCCATGAATGAAGCAAAGAAAGAATTAGTACTGGGTTTGGAGAATGTAAGGGGGGAAACATGAATTTCTTCCAATGACAAGGAGTATCGATAGACCTTGCTTTCTGCCAACAGATAACTTGAGCGTTTAGTGCTTGTTAAAGATTTGTCTATCTATTCTGAAATTACAAAAAAAGTAGCTTTTAAATCAACACATATATTTGAAAATGAAATTCTGAAACTTGTTTTGCTAAGTGTCCTCATTTTGATAGGTTTTCCATTTGCTGCAGTACTAGCAAAACATGAAACAAACTTTATAATGTGAACATTAAATATTCAATCCAAATACTAATATTAAGTGTTGATTTTCTTCCAATTTTAATGCAGCTGGAAGCTGACAATGAAGTCCAAGCTAAGCTCTAATGTTACTGGTGTAATAAAAATGATAATTTTCTTTGCAGCAACAATTAATGATAGCTACAAAATTATTTTCAGAAATCAAAAATTTGAGCCAATTTGGCTCAGGTACATTTGTACCAACTTCATGATTCCAATGAGTCTGCAAGCCTGTAAATGGAGGAGCAGAATTTAAAAAAAAAATCACGTTTTATTTTGAAAGAAAATTACATCTCATCATGTAAATGTTCTGAACTGATAGAGTAGGTGATCTTCTCCTTCAGATAAATAACCATGGCCACTTGGTAACAACCAGAGATAAGAAGAAGGAGAAAGCAGTATTGGAAGCATATTATAGAAAGATGCTTGATGATCATGTATTTTTGCAGGCACAAAGCAAGTCTGTGACAGTAGATAGTTGTCATTGTAAATAGGTAGATATAGCTTCAATTGTAGATATGCTATACTCCTGGCTGCAGTAGAAACCTATTGTAAGATATAGTTTGACAACTTTAATTTTTGTTTTAGTTATATATGCCTATTCTTCATTTCTTTTCTTAAAATACAGGGTACTGATGCCACAAAAAGAGATGGATTCGCAGACAGCTGTAAGAATGTGAATGGGTTTCAAAGCAGTAGACAGACAAAGAGGGGAATTTTAGGAATAAGGATAATGTGAGTTAGAATGTATTCCGTATACAACAACAAAAAAAATCTGTTATGGGCAAAAGAATAATAAGTTGCAACTAAATCTCAAACATATTCTGAGTCACAAAAGTGTATATGTAAAAGTTCAGTAAAGTTTTCAATGGAGTTGTACACCTTTGCTTTCTTCTCATAATATTTATTCCTCCCCAAGTTTCAACTTTCCAAAGGCAAAAAAATAATTCCAAGCCCATCATGAGGAATGTAGAGGGAAAATTGACAAAGCCTGTATTGCAATTACCTTTTCCAGATTAATTTCATAGGTCTTGCAAAAAATTAGTGTTTTCAGTCAAATCAGAACATTTACTCTGCCCAAACTCCATCCCTCTGAGCAGCTTTTGTTGCAGATTGTGGTATCACAGATTGTCTCTTATAGAGAAAGGAAATTAAAGGAAAATGGAAAGTTCATAAAGGTAGATGGGTAGGGAAGATAGGAAAATGTCATATATATCCATCTCATAAGGGACTGATCTGGTGGAATAAATGTTGAAACTCAGTGTCTTCTAACTGCTTCATCTTTTCCATTGTTCCCTACTGTTCCTTATTGTTAGCTCATGTTCAATATTTGTGTTTGAATAAAGTGCTTTTTTCACAATCCAGAATTTCTAGTGCTATGACCCTGTTTCTGTTAGCATTTAAATGTATATCCAAAATTTCATCTGTAATTCTCTATTGCAGACATGAACTACACTCACAACAGGCCATCTTCATTATAGCAGCCCTGGGTTGTATAACATTTTTAATAAAATTACTCTTTTCAATAAAGAAATAATCACATATTCAAATAAATACCATGTAAAGACAGCTGCTTGCTCTTTGAATGGTCTCCAGCAGCAGCATAGGCACTACAAGGGCTAGATTGATGTTGGACACATCTCAGTAGCAGCTGTGGGGTGAAAAAGAGAGTGACCCATAGGTAATGCAGCTTTCTGTGAAGAACCAAAGGAGCACAGAAAATGCTCTCCATGCTCCTTCCTTCTCCCTCTTCAAGTGCATGGTGCAGATTCTCTAACAAATGGGCATCTGTAGAAGGCATTGTCAAGGGACATTGTTACAAGGGCAGCAGTCTGCCTGCTGCTTGAGGGAAGGAAACCCTGCGAGATGAGTGCCTTTCTGCACATAAATTAGTACAACACTCCCAGAATCTTTGTGCTGAGTTACTATAAAAATGAACAACCAGATGAAAAATGTGCTCTAGTCAATGCAAATCTGAAGAAATTCAGTGTATGTCAAAGGAACGATTTCATTTACTTCAGTTTCATTCAAATATTGGCAACACTACAACCTCATCTTCTACAATAAGGCTTTATAAATTAGTATGCTTTTAAATAAAAATTGAGCATATGACTTTGTCATCAACAATATAGAATGATGTAGAATGATGGTTTTTATATTAGACACCTTTTTGTTATTGGTTTCTCTGAGTGATTAATGATCACACCCAGATGTATAGAGTAAGGAACCTCCCATGTCAGGTGTGACTACAGAAGAGTAATCTGAAGATTGCATTTTCACACAATGTTGGTTATCTCCAAAACCATAACAATGCATAGTTCTTTACTACTACTACCTTTTAAAACTGAGACAATGAAAGCAATCGTGGCCAGTCTGAGTACTGAAGTTATAAAGCCACTGATTGATATTTCCAAAAGGGCATGTTCAACCCATGTGGCAATGTAATTGCCACCAGCAGCGATGAACAAAAGCGAAATCTTATGCTTACGATCAAAACATCTTATATTTGTAAGAATGTTTAAATGTTCACGTCAGTATTTTTAAAAAGTTTAGTGTTTACATTATTGCTTAAAATTAAACTTTGTTTCTAATAAAACTCTAATTAAAAGGTATGTTTACAGAAAACAGCAAGTGTGGTAGGCATTTCATTTATTGTAATAAACATGTTAGCAAAAGTGTCACTGTCATAGTTTGAAAGTAATACAGAAATCACATACATTCCTTTGGCATTTGTAATAAAGACTGGGTGAAGGGAAGTAGCATTGCTTTATTCTGTAATGCTGCAACACCCAGCATACACTCCTACTAGTCAGTCCTGAAATAGCTTCTGTACTAGCTATAAGATATTTATTCCTCCTGTGTACTGATCTCCCTTTGTTCTTGTGACTCTGTTAGGGATGTCTCTTGTGCATAGAGAGAGGTATGCACAAGCAAAGCCTGAAGGCTAAATTTCCTGCGGTTCAGTATCAATGAAAAAAATCTAGAAAAAAATGCCTCAATATCTTTGCCAATCTACTTTACTGATTTCCTTATAACCAATGCTACATATAGGATGAAGTTACATAAATAAATATAATAGTGGGTAAAATTACAAAGGAAAGTAAGAGTTTGCTTGCTGGCTCACCTGTACCACTGTACTGCCTTTGACAGTGACCATTACTAGTACCTCTAGAAGCAATTGAAAAGTGTATGAAGAAAATAAACAACCCACAGCAAATTATTTTCAAACTGGTGATTGATGACAGTTTCTGCACTCTCCTGAGTAATCCAGAAATAAATCAACTAAACACCCTCGTTTTGTCTTACTTTTTTTTTTTTTAGTTAGGCCATCATATCAAATAGTGTGTTTCAGTAAGCATGGAAGCACTTCTGTATTGGAGACATTGGTGTTCAGATGCTGATCATTCAGTAGTTTATTCCAGTTCATAAAAGTGCGAGTAACAGGGAGTTTCCTTCGCAGATTTTTCTCCCATATATCCTCTGACAAAGCCTGAATGTTTTCCAGGATAGCAATATGAAACTTGGTGTCCTCAGCTTTGACAAATCTCACGAAATCTGTGGCAAACTGACTTCGGTCTATCACATTTAGAGTCTCACTCACAGACTTGCTGACAGTTACATGGAGGTTGGCATCTCTGAAGTAGTGTATCTGGAGGAGAAAGATCCCTGTAACCTGCGTGGTAAATGGAGTGAGGGCGAAAGTCCAGTCTGACTTCCAAAGGCTGTTCCAGTGATTTGAAGGCTGGTACTGATGAGCCTCAATGCAGGCCACAAACATATGCCTCTTCCCCAGGCTTCTTCTGAACACACAGCAGTTCCCTTCAGGAAAGTGGCGGCTCACGTAGGCCTTCAAGCCCTTGTGGAGGGTCTCTCGCCACAGCTCCCCTTCATCTAGCATCACACCGTGCAGCTGGGGTTTGCTGGTGACCCCACGTAGGTGGTCAAACTCAAAAGAGAATTTGTCCTGAGGGTCAAAGAAGCGGTTTCCCCCTAAGTTGTTGTAGTGAGTCAGTAGAACAGTGTGTCTATTTATTTGGATGGGGGTGAAGTTGTTCTGGTTGTGACAGGCCCCCATGCGGGTAGCCTCCTGTCTCATCAGCTTGTCATCTCGGACCAGAGCAGAGATATCTTGGACAACCTGGCCAAACTCCCCGGGAGGAGACTGGCGCAGTAGGCTGCAAATGAGAGACACCTTCTCCGGCTCACGCAGCTCCTGCCTCGCACACATGCCGGGGGTGAGGGCTATCTAAAGGCTGGGAGGCCGCAGACATGGGGAGGGCACAGGGGCCGCCGGAGGGAAAAGGCACAAGACGGCAGCGGGGGTAAGGGGAGCAGTGGTGGGAAGGGGCCTGCGCTGGGGACCTGCAGTTTATGACCTCACAGCAGCAGCGCTGGTGGGGGTCTGAGCATGGAGTGGCTGGGCAGAGAGACTGCTGGGCATGCCGGAAGGGACATGGTGGTGTGAG